GGTCAACTTTCCTGCTCCTCTGATGCTGCCTGGCTTGCTGTGTTCCTTCAGCTCCACACTGTGTTACATCTGACTCCAGCATCGGCAGTTCTTAATACCTCTAATGTTTCCAGTGACTCTTCGAAATGTTAACACTTGCTTCTCTCTCCACAGATGCTGCCCAACCTGCTGAGTTTCTCCAGCACTTTGTTTTTATCCCCCTTTTGAAGTTTGATCTTAAGTTTCGTTTGATAGTCAGCCTGTGAATCACCTTGGGATGATTTGTTTCATAGAAAGGTGCTACAACAATGTGAGTTGCTGTATTATTTTTTTCACAGTACGCTCCCCTTGCTGAAATCAGTGCTCCCATAAGCAGTTGTTCTCACCAAGCGACACATTTATTCAAGATCTGAAGAATAAGACAAAAAGCACGAGCATGGTTGCTTGATTTATTTCTAAAGGCCTGCCAGAACAACAATTACCTTTGGAATGGATAATCCATCAACTAATTACCGTGAGTTGTAATTAAGATTGAAAGGTACTGCAACACAACCTGATCAGTCCTGATTGCTTCCTGGCTTTAGTAACAGTGTTGATGGGACAATCTGAGATAGGGACATTACTCCTTGTGTTTTTATTGTTGAGCATATTTACCTGCATTATTCTTGATTGTGAAGTTGGGATTCCTGGAAATCTCTGGGGCCAGGTTGTAGAAGAAATACTGTCCAGCCTTTGGGTCATCCTTATCTGTGGCACTGACTGTTTGAATGACCTGTTAATGATTAAATCAGCAGTAAAGACAAGCATTGGCAGTAAAATCAGAACACATTAGCAGGGTGTGGAGTCAGGTACAGGTTCATCTGGTACTGTTTTTCCATCAAAACTGCAAATAGTTTCTTTAGGACAAGCATGTACATTGATGAGAGATAGCAAAATGCAGGAATCCTCACATGGTAAAGCTTTCCTCATGTTGCTTATGTGCAATGACCAAAGTAATCTTTGCATCTTGACTTCTCTACCTCCCAATCTTTCTTTCCTGGAGGCATTGATCAATGGTGGATTACTTTCCACGAGGTGACCAATTAGCTGAACGGTTGGTTTGTGATGTTGAATCAATGTTAAATAGTGTGCGTTCAATTCCGCACTGGCTGGCGTTACCCTGAAGAATTCACCTCTTCTTTATTCATTCACAGGATGAGGGCATCGCTGGTCAGGCAGAATTTATTGCCCATCCCTAATTGCCCAGAGGGCAGTTAAGAGTCAACCACATTACTGTGGGTCTGGAATCACATGTAGGCCAGACCAGGTAAGAATGGCAGTTTCCTTCTCTGAAGGACGTTGGTGAACAAGATGGGATTTTCCGACAATCAGCAATGGATTCACGGTGATCATTGGATTCTTAATTCTAGATATTTATTGAATTCAAATTCCACTGTTTCCTCCCCTCACCTGAAGTGTGGTGACCCTCAGATTAAACCACCACCAGTCATCTCTCTAATGAGAGAGAAGTCCAATGATCTGGTGAGATTATTGTGACTGTACCTTAACTATTCCATGGGCACAAATACCTTGCTATGGATCCATCAGTCACACGCTGGGCTCAACAGCGAATGTCAGCAAATTACCTCTGTTCTGTTTCAGCCAGGACTCAACACTAAGTTCAATAATTTTAGGGCCTGAGCACCTTCTTCCATATCCTTACCCCAACTTCCACACCCAGGCCTTGTCATCACCAGGTATAAGGAAGGTTTGAGTTATAAAGAAAGGCTGGATAGGCTGGGACCTTTATCATGGGAGCATAGGAGGTTGAGAGGCAACCAGATAAGAGTTTATAAAATGAGATTATAGATAGAGATATTGGTCATTGTCTTTTCCCTAGAATGGGGGATTTCAAAACTGGGGGGACCTTTTTAAGATGAAAGGAGAGTCATTTTAAAAAGACACAAGGGCAAATATTTTACAGAGAGGGTGTTTCGCACGTGGAATGAACTTCCTGAGGAAGTGGTGGACGCAGGTACAATTACAACATTTAAAAGACATTTGGATAGATGCATGAATAGGAGAGGTTTAGAGGGATATGGACCAGGAGCAGTTAGGTGGGAGTAGTTTAGTTTGGGATTATGTTTGGCATGGATTGATTGGACTGAAGGGTCTGTTTCTGTGCTGTATGGCTGTATGACTCTATGACCTGGGCTGCTACCAGGACCAACCCATTGTCAGCCTGTAATGGCCCCCATTAGAAGTTATTGATGCCCCCAGGCTGACTTTTACCCATACCTTCATCTGTCCAGCTGTCATTCTCTTTCTCTGGGCTTCATCTCCACCTATTATTTGCCCCTCCCCAACCCACCTTCAGCATACGTACCGACCTTTTTCGTAGTCACAATCAGTTCTGAAGAAGGGTCACTGGACTCAAAATGTTAACTGTGCTTTCTCTCCACAGATGCTGCCAGACCTGCTGAGTTTACCCAGCAATTTCTGCTTTTTTCCCTGTCCCAACTGAGTGCTGCCTCGACGACATCTCATCTGAACTCCCAATGGACCCATTGCCAATGTGAGGGGAAGTACCTCTACGGATGTTGGGGTCGATCTGTCCGACTCCATCAATAAAATGTTAGTGACTTCCCCTTACCCCCTGCAATGGGTACTTCAAAACGGAGACTCCTGCACATCCTCCTTCTTACCCCATCTCACGTGGTGGCAGTGCTGCGTCAACAGAGCCGCTTGCTCTCTGGTTGGACCGAAGGTAGCGAGAGTCATGGAAGGACAGAAAATAGTAAGCTATTTGGCCCTTTGAGCCTGCTCTGCCATTTAACATGGTCATGGTTGATTAACCTACTCAGAACCCTGTTCCTACAATCCCCCCTTTTAGCCTTAACAATTTTACCTCTCTCCTTCTGAAGAAAACATTCAATGTTTTGGCCTTGGCAACTTTCTGTAGCAAAGAACTCCACAGGCTCACCACTCTCTGGGTGAAGGAATTTCTCCATATCTCAGTCTGAAATAGCTTAACCTTTATCCTGAGCCTATGATCCTGGTTCTGGAAACCATTGGGAGTCCTCCTGTCCTTCAAAACAAAATGATGGGTACCACAATCCCAATATCCAGGCACACGGATACATTGGCGCTGATTTTGGGATGTACCCCTATGGGTAAAATCTTAGCTGGTATGTGACTGTTTCCCCACACCAGCCTGGTTAATTAACAAACCCTTCAAAACCTCCAAGAAACCACATTGCCAGTATCACTGGGGAAATAGGGATGGGTGATATGTGTCTGCCTTTAGCACATGCTGAGAACAAATAAAGAAAAAAAAGAGCATTCTCATCTGTATGGCAGAACAGCAGGACATATGGGTTTGTTCAGCACTCAGTTAGCAGGCAAGCTCTGTGGTTTTAATAGCTTCTGTTTTGAGAATCAGTGAAACTTCACCATGTGCTTTCTGTGTGGAGGCAGGTTCAACTCTGATGCTCAAGAGGGCATTGGCTGATTGTTTAAAAAGAAATAGTGTAAAAGGAAAAGGCAAATCATGATATTTTGGAGATACGGTGCGTATATGATGGGCCAAATGGTCCTTATCCTCCTCTGACTCTTTGTGCAGGCACTGCCAGTTGGACCTGTATCAGAGTAATGCAAGGTGTTACAAACCAAAGAAAGAATTGCAAAGCGTATTCACTGCTGTAAGGTGCAGAAACAGCTGCCTGTTTGTAGACATTAAGGTCCTCCAAGCTACAATAAGTGAACAGGCATTCTATCATCTCTGTTAGTGTCGTTGGTTGAGGGATAAATTTTGACCAGAAATCCCTAGTCCCTCAAATCGCACCATTAGATCTTTTTCATCTACTTGAAGGGGCAAGAAGGGTGTCTGTTTCCTTTCTTAAAAGATAGAAGCTGACAGTGCAGCATTCCCCCAGTAACATACTAAGCATTAGCGTAGGTTCAGTAGTCGAAACATGGCAGAGTGTTTTGAACCCTCAGTCCTCTGAGATGACTGCACAACTCCTCGTGTTTGCACCCAGTGGCTGTTTGATCACTAAGGGATGAAATATAAACTTCTCCCCTTTTAGAGATGTCGGGTGTAATGAACAAACAGCAGATTTGGCTGATCCATTCCCCATCTCCCTTCGCTAAACTAAGGTCAATTGCAAAACACAGTTGATGCTGCTAACCCAGCAGAGCAAAACTTCACAGTGTACTGAATTGAAATCAGCGAAAACTGGAGAAACTCAGCAGGTCTGGCAGTATCTGTGGAGAGAGAAAAACAGAGTTAATTGTTCAGGTCTGGTACGAATCTCCTTCAGAACTGTTCTGGAGAGGATTCACAGAAGACTTGAAATGTTAACTCTGTTTCTCTCTGTCCACAGATGCTGCCAGACCTGCTGAGCTTCTCTAGCATTCTGTGTTTGTTTCAGATTTCCAGTACCCACAGTATTTTGCCTTTACTGGATATTATTGGCTGAAGTACGTAGGCAATATTATGGCAAGGACAACAGCAGCAATTGCATCATTTTAAGTTACCAATGTCCAAAAGTGTGCAGGTAATTTCAATTAGACACGCTGAGTGGGCAAATTACTGTATGAGATAGAATGAGGGTTTTATGCCTCTCTCTACATCATTCTCTACCAATGCAATATGGTGCCAGGATTTTGAAACAAGCATTGAACCCAGTTCTACCTGTTTCCACACCATAAGCAGCACTTTTCACTGTACTCATTTGAGTACATGTGACAATAAATCTAATTCTAATGGACAAGGTTAAAACTGTTCCCTCTGAGCATTTTGCTTCTCCTCTGAGAAGAGGTCTTGGACATTAAAAATGTTCAACATCTGCATTGCTGTACCCACCTGTCCAGACTTTCCATTTTCACACAAGTATGCTTCAGTTTGAGAGGCAAGTTCTGGAGCATTGTCATTAACGTCAAGCACCTTAATAGCCACTGGCACACGGGATACTTGGCTATGATTCCCTGCAGGCGAAAAGAAAATAAAGTACAGTCAGCTAACACTTCAAAGATTACCAACAACAGCAGGGCAGCAGATACATTGGAACACCATCATTGCAAGTTCCCCCTCCCAGCCGCTCACCATCCTCACTTGGAAATACATTGCTATTCCTTCACTGTCCTTGGGAATACCCTCCCTAATGGCATTTTGGGTCTACTGATAGCACATAGACTGCAGCTCACTACTACCTTCTCAAGGGATAGCCAATAAATGCTGGCCCAGCACATGAATAAAAACAAAACTACTTCTAGCTACACAGCACCTCCAACGCGGTAAGACACTGCAATGTGCTTCACTGGAATTTTATCAATCAAATCGTGATATGTGAGAGAAAGGAGAGTTTGAAAGAAGAAAGGAGAGGTAGTGAGGGAGAGGGAGAGAATTCTAGAACTTAAGGCCTCGGCAATTTAGAGTCTCGGTCAGTCATGGAGAAGGGTTGAAATTTGGAGAAAGGTCAGTAAAATGAATCAAAGGAGTGCATAATGTTCAGATTACTGTAGAGCTGAACAAATTTACAGAATGATGAAGAGTAAGGCAATGGAGGACTTGCAACCAGGGTGAGGACCTTAATGCTAAGACACTGCTCAACCAGAAGCTAGTGGAATTGAATGTGCACAGGGACCGTGAATGAATAGGACTCAGAGCGAGGAAAGACAGGGGCAGCTGAGTTCTGAATGACCTCAAGTTTAAAGAGGGTAGAAAGTGGGAGGCCAGCACAGCACCTTTAGAAAGGTTGATCCTCAGGTATAAAAGGCTATGGATCAAAGTTTCAGTCACAGATGACAGACAGAGGAGAGGAGTCATGTATAGCCCAAGTATCATGGCAGGCAATCTTAGTGATAGAATGGGTATATAGTCAAAAGTTCAGTCCAGCTCAAATATGACAGCATATTTGTGAACAATCAAGTTCAAAGAGACAGAATTAGTGGTTATTCAGTGACATTTATGGTTGATTTCCCAATATTTAGTTGGACAAAGTTTCTACTTATCCCGTCAGGGATGGCAGGCAAGCAGTCTGACAATTTAGTGACAGCAGAGAAGTTGAAAGTGATCATGATGAAGTCGAGCTGGAGTCATACCAGTGTGCTTTATGAATTATGTCTGCGAGGAGAAGGGAGATGAGAACCATGAGGGGAGTTAAGGATAAATCCTTTTGGGGCAGGTGCGGGGGTGGAACCAGAGGTAATAGTCTGAGAATGGAAAAGAAACTATGATATGTGACTCACTGACTGCAATTAGATAAATAATAATTGAGATAGGTATGTGGACTCAGCTGGACAGCACTAAAAAGACTTGGGAAGAGGACAGCAGCTGCAGGCAGGACCAGAGGCTAAAAGGACACTTGTCCATCAAAAAGATTTTTCCTTTCCTGTCCTTGTTTTGCTTGGCACTCTTTCTGCCGCTCAATGAAGTTGATGTTATAATTTTTTTGCAGTTCAATTCATTATTTGCTTAGAAAGGAAGGAGAGAAATGAATTCAGAGCTATCAACAATCCTGCATCTGTGGTTTCCTTTACAACTGCAATCTTTAAAATCTTAACAGTGTTGTTTTTACACCATGCTGCTACACACTCAATCTCTTCCCTATATTTTGTCTTGTCGCTGTTTGAGATCCAACCTACAACAGGAGTGCTGTCAGCAAACGTGTAAATAGAGTGGGACTGGAATTTGGCCACACGGTCGTGAGGAGTATAGTAGAGGGCTGAGTACACAGCCTTGCGGGGCACCGATGTTGAGGATTATGGTGGAGGAGGTGTTGTTGCCTATTCTTACTGGTCGTGGTCTATGGGTCAGGAAGTCGAGGATCCAGTTACAGAGGGTGGAGACGAGACCTACATCTCGGAGTTTAGAGATGTGTTTATTTGGAATCGTGGTGTTGAAGGCAGAGCTGTAGTCAATAAGTAGGAGTCTGACGTGGTTATTCTTGTTATCCAGATGTTCCAGGGCTGAGTATAGGCCTCTGTGTAGGTGTCTGCTGTGGACCTGTTGCACCAATAGAAAAATTGCAAAGGATCAAGGCAATTTAGTAGGCTGGAGTTGATGCAAGGCATGACTAACCAACTGTTTTATATCAGTTCAAACACTTCAATCAGATCATCTCTCAGATCCTTAAATGCAGAGTCTGCACATGCCAAGTTTAACTCTAAGCCCTAGTATCATTCTGGTCAGTCTGTGCTGTGACATTTTCTTCAATGTCAATATATGGCAATTGGATATGAAATTTACAAAGGACGCTGACCAAATGTAACAAAATAATAACTTCAGTAAGTTGTGCTCAGGTTTCCCTTTTCATTAGCAAACAAAATTTTCCCTCACAAATACTTTCCCACCTCATTAAAACGTAAAACTGTCACTTCATAAATAAGGGATGTGTGTAAATCAATATTGAACACACCAAACAGCAAATAATAGCTACATTTTGTGCGGAGGAGACAGCACCGAGAGAAATTGATGTAAATTCCGCCAAATGATCTGGCACATGTTTCACTTCAATTGAATATGTAAACATTGATTTGAGATCACTTCTAATTGTTCATTGAACAGGAAGCAGAACACAAATTATTTCTCGCCAGTTTGAATACTCAACCAGCGAAGGCACAACATTGTACAATATCAAAAAAAGACAAGTTTGCTTTTGTCTTTTGTAAGCTTGATCTGGTCTCTGCTATTTCAGTCAAAGGGACTGGAGACTGGTAGCATTATGATGCACTCCATTGTTCCCATGCCAAGATCATAACACTAAAAGATACAGGAGCAGATATAGGCCATTCAGCCCATCAGGTCTTCTTTGGTATTTGATTGTGTCTGATATGTTTCTCAACCCCAATCTCCTGCCTTCTCTTCATAGCCCTTGATTCCCTTACAAATCAAGAACTTATCTCTGTCTGAGAGATGCTCAACAACTTGGCCTCCACAGCCTTCTGTGACACTGTGTTCCACAGATTCAACCCCTTCTGGTTGAAGAAACTCCTCCTCATCCCAGCTCTGAAGTGTCATCCCTTCACTCTGAGGCTGTGCCATTGTGTCACAGTTTCTCCTACAGGGGAAACATCTTCTCCAGGTCCAATCCATCCAGGCCTCTCAGCATTCTGTAAGTTTCAATGAAATTCCCCGCTAACCTTTCTAAACTTCTTTTAGTACAAACTCAGAGTCCTCAACCACTCCTCATATGACAAGCCCTGTATCCCCGAGCTAATTCTTGCTAGCCTTCTCTGGAACTGCAAGGCCAACCCTGTATCCTTAGATATAGGAACCATAACTTTTCACAATATGCCAAAATGCAGTCTGACCATAGCCTCAGCAGTACATCTCTGTTCTCGTATTCAAGCTGCCATTCTGAAAAAGCCCCCTTTATCCCAGTCAACCAATCCTCTGTCCATGTCATCTCAAGGTGAATGTGAACATTGCATTTGCGTTCCTAACTACAAACTGAACCTGCATGTTAACTTTAAGAGAATCCTGAACTGGGACTGAGGTACATTTGAGCTTCAGACTTCTAAAGTCCTTCCCCCTGTAGAAAATAGTCTACATCTCTATTCTTCCTACCATAGTGCATAACCTCATACTTTCCCATATTGTATTCCATCTGCCATTTCTTTGCCCACTCTCCTAGCTTCTCCAAGTCCTTCTCTAGCCTCCCTGCCTCCTCAACACTACCTGTTGCTACACCTGTCCTTGTATCACCTGCAAACTTAGCAACGGTGCCCTCAGTTCTATTGTCCTGATTGTTAACATATAATGTGAATACCTGTGGTCCCAGCACTTAACCCAGTAGAACTCCACTAGTCACTGGCTGCCATCCTGAAAAAGCCCCCTTTATCCCAACTGTCTTCCACCAGTCAGCCAATCCTCTGTCCATGTTGTGTGGACTAATGCTGTAGACTCTTATCTTATTTTATAGTCTCCTTTTGGCACCTGTCAAATGTCTTCTGTAAATCCAAATAGATCACGTTAACTGGGTCTCCTCTGTCTAACAACTTGCTCAGTGCTACCTCAAAGAATTCTAACAGATTTGTCAGGCATGATCTCCCCTTGACGAAGCCCTATTTACCATACACTTCCAAATAGTCCAGAGTCTCATTTTTAATAATGAAATCTAAAACATTACCAGCAAACAAGGTCAGGCTAACTGGACTATATTTCCCGTCCTTTGCCTCCAACTCCTTCTTAAACAGGGTTTATCATTCTCCAGGACAACAAGGTGCAGGGCTGGATGAACACAGCAGGCCAAGCAGCATCATAGGAGCAGAGACGCTCCTCCGAGACCCTTCCTGACTCTAATGATTCCTGAAAGCTCACCACCAATGCTTCCACAATCTCCTTAGCTATCTCCTTCAGAACTCTGGGATGTAGTCCATCGGGTCTGGGTGCTTTATCCACCTTCAGCTTCCCCGACACCTTTTCCTTGGTGATAAACACTTGACTCTCGAAGTTCTGGTATGTTACTGCCATCTTCCAACACGAGGGACTGGATAAACTCTCAGCATTTCCATTGCAGATCGGTATCCAGTGGGAAATGCAGTGTGGACACTGAAATCCGACTGGGATTCTAGGTATAAATTAATCAGCTGAACTCAGCACCAGAGAGAGAGAGGACAAAAGCTGATGTTGAAGGGCAGGGAATAAGTCTGTAAGTGAATTAATTTAGCATGCAGTGAAAGGGAGGAACAGAATTTAGAGATGACGGTTGTGAAGTGATAATGTCACTGGACTACTGTCTGGAACTGTATGTGAGTATTTTAGGGACACAGGTTTAAATCCCAACAACATATCAATCATGGTGAGTGTGGCACCTCCTTCCTGCTCACCATCCAAGGGCCTAAACAGTGTTTCCAGGTGAAGCAGCATTTCACCTGTACCTCCTCCAATCTTGTGTATTTGTATTTGCTGCACCCAATGTGGCCTACTCTACATTGGAGATGCCAAATGCAGACTGAATGATGGCTTTGTAAACACCTCTGGTCCATGCACAAACATGACCCTGACCTTCCCATCGCTGGCCATTTTAACACAGCGTCCTGCTCGCATGCCCATTTGTCTATTCTTGGCATGCTGTTCTAGTGAATGACAGTGCAACCTGGAGGAACAACATCTCGTCTTCAGACTGTGCACTTTACAACCTTCTGGACTGAGTTCAACACCTTCAATTTGTGAACCAACTCCCATTCCTTCCCTTTCTCTCAGTTTTACTTGTTACATTCTCTGTCGCCATGTCCTCTCTCCCCCACCCCCACCCCAGTGGGGCTGCTTGTTCTTTCAACTCTGGCAGTTAGACAATGCCATTCTCACATTCTGATCACTTAAACTGAACTATCAACATCCTTTCTCCCCCAGCACTCCGACCACCAGTCCCCCGAACTATCGCATAAAATGCTGCCCTCTCCACATTTCACATCAGCTCTGATGAAGAGTCATCTAGACTTGAAATGTTAGCTTGCTCTCTCTCCATAGATGCTGACCTACTGTGATCTCCAGCATTTGTTGTTTTCAGTTTGATATAAAAGCCCACCTGGTTCACTAATGCCCTTCAGGGAATGCAATTTGTCACCTAGGCCCAGTTTGGCCCACAGCCCTGCAACAATGTGGTTTCTGGGTAATTGCTCTCTAAAATGGCCACTGAGTTCAAGGTCAATCTGGGATGGGCAACAAATGTTGACCTTATCAGTGACGGTCACATCCCATGAAAGAATAAAGAAAAAACAACTCATAATCTCATGGTAAAGCTACTTTAATAGAGGAAACCTCTGATCTTTACCCACTCGGTGCCTACATGTGATTCCAGTTTAATTCCAATAGGGTTGACTCTCAACTGCCTTTTGAAGTTGTCTCGTAAGATGTCATTATTTCCCATGAAGAATGCAGCAGTTCAAGCTCTTTCCCACATTTTCAGAGTAACTCAGATGAGCAATAAGCAACAACTTGATCACGTCCTGAGGATGAATGAGCAATTTTGAAGGGGTTCATAGGTAACTTGGGAATGGAAACGGAGTTCATAAAGAATTAACGAAAACAGCAGGAATTAGGCATCACTAAAAATGTCCCCTCTAACTACTTTTAGAGTACAAAGGTGACATGTTTGAGTCCACCATTGGTAGCAATTTAATATAACTGGGTGTCCATTTCAGATGGCAGTTAAAACTCAACCAGATTGGTATGGGACTGAAGTCACAGATGAACAAAATAAAAAGAACAGTAAAAAAGTTACTGAAAAAAGAGCCGCTCAACACTTTGCTTCTGAACCAGTTCCGTGCACATACATCTCACCAAGACCCAGTCTGCTGGGTTTTCCCATAGCACTGCAATGTTTTCTTCAGATAATAATCCAATTCTCTTTGGAAAACTATAATTGATTCTACCTTCACCACCCTCTCAGGTAGTGCATTCCATACTCTAACCACTCAGTGTCACTCCCACTTCTTTTGTCAATCACCTCTGGTTGGACTAGGTAAGGACAAGAGAGTTAGTTCCTTAAGGGATATTAGTGAAGCAGGTGGAAGTTTCTAGCAATCCAACAATTCCACGGTTACTTTAACAGATATCAGCTTCTTACTCCAACAAAAAAAAACACCTTTCTGGAACCATTATCAATGCATCTTGAATTCATTTTTGCTTTGATTTCAAGCCTCTTGAGTTCTTGTTCTGTCTCATAACAAATAAACTGTTGAATACGAGAAACACAAGACAGCTCAGTGAATGAACAAGAGAGAATGTAAGGCATCAAATTAACTCGTAGACATAGAGAAAAGGCCAAAAGAGCAAAAATTTGGAAAACAGAGGAAATGAACTGCAAAGGTGTTTCTAATGACCACCAACAGCCACAGGTTGCAAGGAGGGAAAAGTCTGAATGTATACAAAGTTTGCTTTGCACGAATGTATTAATTATTCACTAGTCAATCCACATTGATGTTGCGGGGGGGATTGCAAGAGATTCATCAGCTTTTTCCTTTTCACATCTTCAAACTTTTTCACTGGAGAATAATATGAAGTGTTGGAAGGATTCTGATTAATCCTGATTAATAATGTGATAGGTGCCAATGATCCTTTAAATTCTGCTTGGCTGATCTGTTACTGCAAAGGATTCGAACCAAAAACCTGAGAGAACGACACTATCATTGGGCCACAGGTTTGACCCAAGTCTGTAGGTCAAGTCAGGAGGGGATAATTTACCAGAGTAAGTAAGCATATTCAAAATGGTCATTTTAAAGCCATGTTCTGCTCCTGTTATTCTATTCCCGTTATAATTCGGGCATTTTTCATTATAAATGTGGAGACACAATATAAAGTTGTCCTACTATAAATTATTCAGTTCTACAGTGAAGGCAAGGTGCTATCTTGTGACAAATATAGACAGCTTTACACGAGCAGTATTGTGGCTCAGTGGTCAGCGCTGCTGCCTCACAGTGTCAGGGATATGGTTTTGATTCAACCCTTGGGCGACTGACTGTTCAAACTCCACACATTCTCCCTGTGTCTGCATGGGTTTCTGCTGGGTGCTCTGGATTCCTCCCACAGTCCAAAAATGTGCAAGCTAGATGGATTGGCCATTCTAAATTGCCCATAATGTTCAGGGCTGTGTAGATTAGATGTGTTAGCCATAGGAAATGCAGGGTTACAGGGTGGGATGCTGTTTGGAGGGTCGGTGTGGACTTTTTGGGCTGAATGGCCTGTTTCCACATTGTAGGAATTCTATGATTTACCACTTTAGGAGGATTCTCAGAGACTGTTTGTTTGGAGTCTATGCCACAGCCTCCAGTAAATGGAGTTCAGCCAGCTACAATTATTCCAAGAAGATTCTCCAAAGCCAACAGCTTCTGTGTGCAGAATAACTTTAGCATCAAAAACTGTTTTGGGCAATTCATGGCAACCAATCTTCTTGGATTTAACTCTTATTTGGCCAAAGTACATTAAAATTAACATCTAGCAGATTATTTATTTATTTATTTCTTCTCAGACATGAATGTGTTTGTGTTTTAAAGGGTAGATGTATTTTGATGCAGGTATATAATTTATCTGAATTAATGTCAATTTTGTAAATTGGAATTCAAAATAGAGGCAGATGAGAGTCAGTTACTTCTGTGAAGAGTTTTTTGTTTGAAAAATTCAAGTTCAGAGAGTCCTTCTGGAATATTGAATAAACACAGTATGTTGTCAGGAAGCAAAGAGAAAGCAAGCCCCTGTGATGTTAATGGGAAGATGTTTACACTGTTGGGTTTGCAGCAGGTATGGTAAAAGTTGAAGTCCATTGTCTTTGTTTACAGTTCAGGGAAATCCAGGATTTGGACAGTTTTTAAAAGTCAATTCATAAATGCCCAATATTGAGTTTAGAAATGGATTTATTTCCCTACTTTGAAGGACCTTAGGGCAGCAAGTCACCAGAGCAGAAGGATTTAGTTGGTAAAGCTTCTAAATTTGAAGAGCTTGGTTAGAAATCTGCAGGTTATTAGAACTAAGAAAACTTAGGATCTCTGATTTGTGATAAATTTTATGAAAACAAATTTGGAAAAGACTCATTGAATTGTTCCACGGGTCATGACAAAGAACTGTCAGGAATCACTTTTGTTCCATTGTTAAAGAAAATTTGCAATCTCATGTGACTATCCTTCAGTAACCAATTACCATTTAATTATGCAAACAAAAAATAACAACCCAGATTTCGTTCTAGGATCTGGAGTAGTAACCATTAGCTGAAATTGTAAATATATATATATATCTAAATTGTTTGTCAGTAATCTTTGCATTTTCATTTGAGTTAGCTTGTTTTTTGTTCATAAACCAGTTCTGTGCTGTTGACTAACAAAGCTCAGTTGACTTGTTCTTAATGCTGTATCTACGATGGGGGAGGTGATGGCCTCGTGGTATCATTGCTGGACTGTTGATTCAGATAACATTTTAGACCACGCTTGGAATATTGTGTTCAGTACCGGTCACCTCATTATAGGAAAGATGTGGAAGCTTTAGAGAGGATGCAGAGGAGATTTACCAGGATGCTGCCTGGACTGGAGGTTAGGTGTAATGAGGAAAGGTTGAGGGAGCTAGGGCTTTTTTCATTGGAGCGAAGAAGGATGAGAGGTGACTTGACAGAGGTATACAAGATGATGAGAGGCATAGATAGAGTGGATAGTCAGAGACTTCTTCCCAAGGCGGAAATGACTATTACGAGGGGGCATAATTTTAAGGTGATTGGAGGAAGGTATAGGGGAGGTAGGTTCTTCACACAGAGAGTGGTGGGCATGTGGAATGCGCTGCCAGCAGTGGTAGTGGAGTCAGATACTCGAGAGACTTTTAAGTGACTCTTGGATAGGCACATGGAGGACAGTAAAATGTAGGGTATGCGGGGTAGATTGATCTTAGTAGGGTAATAGGTCAGCACAACTTCATGGGCTGAAGAGCCTGTACTGTGCTGCACTGTTCTATGTTCTATGTTCTAAGATATGTACATTTGGTCATATCACCAAACTGATTAAACGTAAATCTTGTGACCAGTGGAGGAGTAGGACTAGAAAACGTAACAGTGTATGACCTCGAGCGCAACAATAAATTTCAGATAGATGCAATAAGTCACTACATGATCCATCTCTTGACCTGCATCAATTCTTACTTGAACTATTTCGAATAACATGAAAGGCAGTCACCCTCAAGCTTAAGGTTCTACCAATACAATTGGCCACCATGATACATACTGGTTTCTGTGGCGATAACGGTGATGTTATGCCAAACTTCGGTTTCTCTGTCCAGAGGTTTGGCCAGGGTTATTTTCCCATCATCAGCATTAATGTTGAACAACCTTTCAAGGTCAGTGTGCCGGTCTATTGAATACCTACAAAAAAAAAGATAAGTTGAATAACTACAATGCTAAGCACACTGACAATAAAGAGGGTATGGGGAAGGAGGTTTATTTTGATCTGTGTTAATGTTGTGAAACAGACAATACCTGATTCACAGAAAAAACAGAGTTAACGTTTCGGGTCCGGTGACCCTTCCTCAGAACAGTTCTGAGGAAGGGTCACTGGACCCGAAATGATAACTCTGTTTTTTTCTTCACAGGTGCTGCCAGACCTGCTGAGCTTTTCCAGCAACTTTGTTTTTGCTCCTGATTTACAGCATCTGCAGTTCTTTTGGTTTTTATTTAATACTGATTCACCATGCATTACAAAAGTCATCCAGACTTCCTTTCCATTAAAGTCATTAAGAAAGGAGATCAAGTGAAGTGTGATCCTCTATTTCCCATTTTATGGCCTCACCAAGTCCCAGACAACTAATTATATAACTTTAGTCTTGGAGTCACAATTGTAATGTGACAGATACAGCAATTAACTTATGCACAATTCCATGCACAGGAAGGAGATATTGATCAGATACTCTGATTTTAAGATGTTGGTTTTGAGAGTATTATTTGCCAGGGCACCAGGAAGAGCACCCTGCAAAACAAACGACAGTCAGAGGACACGGTACAACAGAAGACACTAGTAACGCGACCCTACATCAGAAATATATCAGAAATGACAGCCACACTCCTTTGACCGCATAGGACCATGATTGCACACAAACCTACATCAACACTGTGTCAAATGCTATCAAAGACTAAAGACCCCTTACCGACGTAAACAGGACTAGCATGATATGGAATAAACATTACATTGGACAAACGGGGAGGAAACTGATGACCAGGATACACAAACACCAGCTGGCTGTAAAAAGACAATATTCACTTGTCTCGATACACACAGACAATGAAGGCTATCAGTTCGACTGGGTCAAAGTGACCACACTGGGACAAGCGAACAACAGACACGGAAGGGAATTTCTGGGGTCCTGGTTCTCAACACGGGACTCCATTAATAAACACATAGAAATAGACCCTGTATACTGACTGCTGCCAAAAAAAACAGAACCGGAAGTGACAAGACCCACCACACCAAAGGGTTATATAAATTTGGAAAGGAGCAGAACACAAACGCTTCCATTAGAGGTCTTACTGATGATATTGCCTAGAATGGTATTGAAATGTCTACACACCACAGAACAACCGGCTCAGCAAGCAAACAAACAAGTACATCTACAACATGAGCTACAAATTTTCACTAAGATCTTAAACATCCCTAGTATTCTTTGAAATAGTCTTTTACATCAGACTTAGAGGTCAAATGAGGCTGTAGTTTAAACATCCCAACACTTCTCTAGCAATGGCATAGCCCCTCAGTACTACACTGGGGAATGTCAGTCTAGATTAAGTAACCCTTTTCTGACCTTGGATACAAACCCAGAACCTCCACATGCAAGTAAAATAAAAGAGTGCTTCGCAGTACTCCATGACTGATATAGTTAGGCTAATACGCTACAGCACACCAAGTTTCAGACTCTCTCTTCAAGATGTGATAGTCCATTTCAATTTAGGGTGAGAAGTTTACATAGCTCAACAAGTATGTTGATAGCAGATTGACAGTGACCTTAGAAGAGCCCCACGCATCACCAAATGGCTAAATAAATGTTGATTGTTACTCAAGTGCCTCCTGCTACAGAGTGACAGATTGCTCGATACCTGCAGTTAGCATTTTTCAAATCTCCTTCAAAACCCAGCATGGTACAAGAATAATTTTGTTTTAAATTAGACGATGTTAGTTTTGAACGAAACGTTGGTATTATCACAGGGAAGAAGAAAGGCAAACTCTTTGAAAATAGATACACTAAGTCATTTACAGAAACAAAAAAGATTGTCAGCCCCTATTTATGATACTCTGAAGTGCTTCAGTTGTCTGTTTACAGAGGAGACACTTGGCTGCTATAAAAGGGTTTTTTTTGACATCTGTATGCATTCTGCTGTATAACAAATGGACTTGGTTGAAGGATGAGGGTGGGGGTAGCACAGTGGCTTAGTGGCTAGCACTGTTGCCTTACAGCACCAGGGACCTGAGTTCAATTCCAATCTCAGGTAACTGGTTGTGTGGAGTTTGCAATTCTCCTTGTGCCTCTGTGGATTTCCTGTAGATGCTCCAATTTCCTCTCACAGTCTAACAATGCGTAGGCTAGGTGGATTAGCCACAGGAAATATGGGATAGGGTGGGCTGCTCTTTAGAGCATTAGTGCAGACTTGATAAGTCAAACAGCCTCTTTCCACACTGTAGGGATTCTATAATATCAATGGAAGACACATAGGAAGATCTATTTTCCAAATCCTCATAATGTTTTAATTTCACAAGGACCATTCAGCAGTTTATATTTGTATTTTTAATTCTTTGTTTGATTGCCAGTTCTGGTTGGACTTATTAGGAGTTTGCTTTAAATAATCTATTGCCTCCAGCTACCCTACATCTTCACTGCCCATTGGTTATCCTAACATGTCCATGCTAGCTGGGCCACTTTCCATTGTCAATTAAAAGGTGTTACATTATTGGATGATTCTTGACTGTAAATAGCCTTTCCTTTCTCACAGAAAAGCAGAAATTGCTGAAGAAACTCAGCAAGTGAGGCAGTATCTGTGCAGAGAAAGCAGAGCAAACATTTCGAGTGTAGTGACCTTTAAACAGACCAGTACAGTTCTGAAGATAGATAATTGGTGGAATGGCTGCACAGAGGCTGGTACCCCATCACCAAGTCACACTTTATTTACTTGTACACAGGACAGTGGCTGTGACCAGCCAACTGGGAGTCAGTCCGCTGAACGAGGGAGATTCTAAATCCCCTGTGTATATTGGCCTGGCAAGGCTTCCTGATTGGCCTAGGTTAACAATCCCAATCAAGGATCTCGTAGTCAACGAGACTACACTACAATTGGATTCAAAACATTAACTGTTATCTCTCCATAGGTACTGCGAGACCTGCTGAGTTTCTCCAGCAATTTCTATTTTGTTTCAGATCTTCAGCATCCACAGTTCTGTGTTTTGTTTTCGTCTTTTCTTTCCCATGTCTATAACTAATCAACCAAAATGTTCAAAAAATTAAAGGAAACAAATGTTTTACAATTAGTACAATGTCCAACATGGTCAAGAGCAACTTACAGTCATAAAATTCCTTTAAATATGCCAAGCATGAAAGGAGTAGTACAAACACAATAAGTGGCCTCAGTGCCCTGGGTAGTGAAACTGAAGCAGACAAAGCTCCATTTCCATTTATTATTTAGTGATTTCTGCTGGAAGTTTATGTATGCTGTGTGCATGTATTTGTTAACACACATACATCTACACACAAATGCACACACAGACACACATACACATGTGTGCAAATACTCATTTATGTGTGTGAATTTGCACATGTGCGTGAATATATGTGATCAAGTATGTGTGTGTCTGCATGCATGTGCCTGTGTATATAATTGTGTTAATAAGATAGGGTGAATAGTCAAGATCCATTTTTTTCCCCAAGTTTGGGGATTCCAAAACTAGATGGCATAGGTTTAAGGTTAGAGGAGAAAGATTTAAAAGGGAACTAAGGGTGGTACATGTATGGAATAAGCTGCAAGAGAAGGTGTTGGAGACTGGTACAATTACAACATTTAAATGGATATATGAATAGGAAGGATTTAGAGGGATATGGACCAAATGCTGACATCGGGGACTAGATTAATGGAGAATATGTGATCGGCATGGACAAGTTGGACTGAAGGGTCTGTTTCCGTGCTGTACATCTCTATGACTCTATGACACCACATGCAAGCTGCATGGGCTTTTATGCATATGCATGTGAATGCCTGTTCTAAGATGAATCTGTATGTATCTGATCATTTAGGTACACTTGCAAGAGTTTGTGTGCGTGTGCCTTTGTGCATATGAGTGGATGTATGCATGTGAAAATCTGTGAGTGCACATGTACATGAATATGTGGATGCAGTGGTGTATGCATCTGCCTATCTGTATGTGCACAGTCCTATGTTTTAGCCATTCAGTAGAGATATTTGTTTATGATTTCGCTGCGGTAAAACAGCTGCTTGGATTCATTCAGAAATGACAGCCATTTAGACAGGGTGAGGACACAGGTATGTCAGTGCTGTGGAATCATTAGACACCAAGGAACCAGCTCCTCCAGGACAGGATGGCAGATGAGAGACACTGACAGAGTACATCAATAAGAATTTATTTTTCATTCCTTTACCTCATAATGAAGTAGACTTCTCATTACCACTGTTTGAGTAACACTTGGATGAAAATTGTTTGATTTGCTTCAGCCCAACTTGAAATGGGTTTAAATAGGTTTTAAAAGTCTGATTGGCCATCTCAATACCAATTCTAAAATTTGAGCATTGCTGTGCTGTAAATTACACAGTTTGATCAGATTGTCAGGGTGATATAGCGTTCTACACTGTGCTGTTATGTGAAGCTATTTGCTTTGCCGTGGACAGATCAATTGAATAAATAGATAAATCAAACACTCCTCGGCAAGGTGTAGCGCAGGTTATATAAAGGGCACATCTCTCTGTATTACAACAAAGAGGGACTTGCATTTATATATCAGCATTTGAACATTGGCATCAGTCGTTTGTGTGACAGAATCCAGCCATACATGAGTATTGCTGAGTGTGACTGGATTTATAGCCTTCAATAGAACAGAAATAAAATGACATGGATTGGAATCCTATTCCAACAAGAATAAGTGTCTTTGCATGTATGATAATGGTGCAATCACTATTACTATTCCTCACTGTCCAAGGTTCAACTGAGCAAAGAGGCTCTTCAAATAGCTCTGAATTGGATTCAGCTTGTCATGATGGAGCCACGTCATCTGTTTTGACTTCTGTGCATTCTTAACCAAGTTTGTTACCATTGCCCCAGCATCTTGACCTATCATCAGCTTTCTACCACTGATACTCGTGAAAGGAAGCAGGTTGGTGGGTAGAACTTTCAGTGCAAGTTCTTGTCTACTGGGGATATTAGACTCAATATAATTTCAGGGCTGGAAAACTGCTTAGGATCATGAAATTGCCTGAACACAGGAGAACAACATGTGATAATGTAAGGATATACAAGTTAGGGGCAGGAGCAGTCCATTCACCTTTCTGAGCATATCCTCATCTTCACCTTTGATCCCCACTTTCAAAATTCGTTCCCTAAATATAGATGCCCCCATGAGGGGAAATATCCTCTCAGCATCTATCCTACCAAGCCCCCTCAGAATCGTACATGTTTTAATCAAATCATCTCCCTTTCTTCTAAACTCCAATAAGTATTGACCCAAACTGCTCAAACTGTCCTCAGCACCCAACCACTTCCATCATGCAACAAGCTGAGTGAACCTTTTCTGAACTGAATACTGTGAAAGTATATTATTTCTTAGGTAAGGAAACTAAAGGGTGCAGTCTCTAGTGTGCACTCTCTCCATGGATGCTGCCTGACCTGCTGTGAATAGCAGCATTTTTTGTTTTCAGTCCAGATTCCAGCACCTGCACTAATTTGCTCCGACAGTACTCTACCTGGGTCTCACCAAAGTCCTTCATGGTCGTAACAAGATTTCCGTCCTTTTTATACCCCAGAGGGGAGACAATGGCCTAGTGGTATTATCGCTGGATTGTTAATCCAGAAATCCAGGTAACGTTCTGGGGATCTGAGTTCAAATCCCACCATGGCAGATGGTGGAATTTGAATTCAATGAAATATCTGGAATTAAGAGTCTAATGATGACTGTGAATCCATTGCCGATTGTCAGGAAAAAAAAACATTTGGTTACTAATGCCCTTTAGAGAAGGAAACTGCCATGCTTACCTAGTCTGGCCTACATGTGACTCCAGACCCACAGCAATTTGGTTGACTCCTAATTGCCTTCTGGGCAATGAATGCTGCCTGACCAGCAATGCCCTCATCCCACAAATGAATAAAGGATAAAGGATACTCCCTGCAATATTTGCTGAATTCTCACTTTTGTTTGTAATTTACTTGTGAGCTCTGGAAGAAGCAACATCTTAGAATGGTCAAGCAAGGAAGGAAGTTATCCAATTACATGTGGCAGTGTGTGTTGGTGATATTTTTGCATAAAAGCTAATGAAACTAAAATCTCAGCTATGAACTTCAACCTTCTGTGTTTCAGCTGAGAGCGCTGTCATCTAGCAAGGATCTGGGGTAGGGGCTGTGGGAGGTAGTTTCAAGAAAAACCAGTGGTTCATCTTTAGATACGTGCAAACATACGGAGCTGGAGTAGGCCACTCGGCCCCTGTGATGTGCTTTACTATTCAATGAGGCTGTGGTTGATCTGACTGTTTCATACTGCTACCTTCCCCCCTCCTGCCAGACTCCCAGCTGGATTCACTGCGATAAGCTCTGGGCAGTGTGTAGAGGATTTTTAAGGAAGGAAGGCATCCTCTGACGACAGCATTGCTAGTCCCCAATTCCATTTTTTTTCTTATTTTGTTCTTGGGATGGGGACATCACTGGCTAGGCCAACATTTCTTACCCATCCCTAATTGCCCTTGAGAAGGCGGTGGTGAGCTGCCTTCTTCAACCACCGCAGTCCATCCCAAACACGGCCATTTTCCGTGAGGAAGGATGAGGGGTGGTTGTTGTGGGCAAGACTACTTGTGAGTCATTAAAGGCCGATTATGATCTGTTAATGGGGTTTCCCTCTATCAGACAGCAGGGTAAGGGGCATGGAGTTCTACTGCACAAGGTGGGAGCTCAGTGCCACCTGATACTTGGCTGTATTCAGTAGCAATTGTAGGCTGCCCCTCAGATGGGTTATCCTACAGACCAACTCACCCCAGCAACCCACTCCTGGCTTTGCTGCCTCCCCAGCTTTGACAGGCCCTTGTCAGGTAGCAAATGTAACCATGTGGCCAATTTTGGGAAAAGTGTCAGTGCAGGTTAGTTTCCCAGTTGGACCCTCGATTGAGATGTTTGTAGGAAAATCCTGCCCATACCTCTGAAGGGAAACCTCAGGCCTTTGTGTGACAGGACGCAGATCCATCAGAATGGCACCAGGATTGGAAAGGATAAATTATGAGGACATCTCTTTCTTATGTGGAGAGAAAGCAGACTCAATGTTTTGGAATCAGTTTTGAAGAAGTGTCACTGGACACAAAATGCTGACTCTGCTTTCTCTGTACACGTGTTGCCAGCCCTGCTGAGTTTCTCCAGCAATTTTTTGTTCTCGTCACAGAATTGTTATGGAGCGGGAGGTGGCCATTTGTTCCATTCTGCCTGTACTAGCTCGTTAAATAAGTATCATTATATTGTGTCAATTTCCTGCTTTATTCCCATACCCTTGCACGTTATTTCGTTCCAAGTAATCATCCAATGCCTCCATTGGATCTGCATCTACGACACTTCCAGGCAGTGCATTCCTTACCCAACTACCCATTGAATGAAAAAGCTTTCTGTCACATCACTCACAATGAAGACATGCGACATATTAACACATCCCAGCGAGAAGGCAATTTGAATACCTTGCTAAAGATCACTGCCCACATTTGTGCAGGGTAAGGGAGTCTGACCAGGACTTGGTGGAGTTTGCTCCAAGGATTAAAGACCTATGGGAGAATACAGAAGATTGGGAACAGCAATGAATGGAAACAAAGCTTCCATACCTGATAGGGCTGATGACAATATCAGGGTCACGGGCCATTATTTGTCCAATGTCAGAACCCACGTTCACGCTCTCTCTCACTTCCAGGAAATAGGCAGGCAATGAGAACACAGGTGGCTCATCAGCATCCTCCACTGTGATCTTCACAGCTGCTGTGTCTTTGAAGGGGCCCTTGCTGATGAAGCGAGGATCAATATGTGCATTACCGGCCTCGACTTTCAAGGTATAGGATCTCTTGGTCTCGAAGTCCAGGGGCTGTGCAAGTGACAGAGATGAATGATTTTCACTAATGATTTCAAACAGCAGGAGAACAAATGAAGGTAATGCTGATAGATGGAAGGTATGCAGGATTAGTACATCTGCAGCAAGTTCACCAGAGCTAGTAGAGTCTGTGAGCATTTGTCCTCCACAATAATCACCACTGACTATTTATTTTAAAATATTTTGTTCAGATTGGGGAGTTGCTTACAGTGCTGTTAATTCATTCCAGCATTAAAAAGAACAAATTTGTTTTTACTTCTCCACCCATTTGTTCATTGAGACAAACTCATTAAAATTTTAACAGTCATTATACAGATAGGAAGCCAGTCTTTTTCTTCGTTATTCAAGATGTTCACAAGATGAAGCTCCTCTCAGCTACAGCAGCTCTTCTGAGGCTGCTTTTACACTGCTACATGGTTAAGATAAGACAGGCCTTGAGTCTGCTGATGGTGGTGAGGGAATTGGCAACATTACTGCAGTATTTGCTCTGAGTGTTACAAGTTGCATAGTTCACTAACTATTCCTCCTAATGGGCAAAGCACCCCTTCAGTTTTGCGTTCCATTTTGTATAACAGGTAACATTTCATATTGGAGTTGACTGGAAGTTTTTACGAAGTGACAATGTGAGAGAGAGCTGTATTGCAATCAGTAAAGTTGCAGTGATAGGGTTTCAAAAAGTTAAACTTGCCACAGTAAAATAGAGACACAGCAGGGTGGAGATTTAACCTGAGGGTCACCACACCTCAAGTGAGAGGTTGAAATGGACAATTTATCATAGTAACCACAGCCAGTGTGGGAATTGAACCCATTTTCACAATCATAAATCTACCAGCCAACCAACTGAGCTCAGGGTTTCACAACTGTGTAGAAGAGTTCCTGAGGTATGCAGTTGTGTCACTGTGACGTCATTAATTTTGTGTTAATGTTCTACTCAGAAATTGGGCCCTGTACTACTTGTAGTGCTCCACAGCCTTACCATCATGTACTGAATAACAAGAAACAAGAAACATAGTTTAACAGTTCCTAAGAAATCTAGCCTAAACATCTATTAAGATCCGAGGAACCCACATGAAAGCACAACCAATGAAAAGCTACAGTCAGGACCATAAGATGCAGGGGCAGAAATAGGCCATTCAGCCCATTGAATCTATTCCACCATTCATGAAGGAAATCAAGGGTTTTTGGGAAAAGGCAGGAGAGAAGAGTTGAGGATTAACAGATCAGACATTAACTCATTGAATGGCAGAACGGACTCAGTTAAAAATCTGTATATTTCAGCCTTCATTATACTTAACAACCCAGCTTGTACAGTTCTGTGGTGAAGAATTCTATAGTTTTACTACCCTCTGACAGAAGCAATTCCTCCTTATCTCTGTCTTAAATGGGTTACTTTGAGCCATGAAAATTTTCCCTCCAGTCTTAGACTCTCTTATAAAGGGAAAAATAAACCTCTCAACATCTACCCTGTCAACCCCTTAAGTGAAGGGGTGCTTTGCCCATTAGGAGGTAATAGTTAGTGAACTATGCAATCTGTAACACTCAGAGCAATGTTGCCAATTCCCTTAGCACCAGTAGCAGACTCAAGGCCTGTCTTATCTTAACTATGTAGCAGAGTAAGAGCAGCCTCAGAAGAGCTGTTCTGGCTGAGAGGCGTTTCATTTTGTGAACATCCTGAATAATGAAGAAATAGATTGGCTTGTTATCTGTATAATGACTGTATGTTTTAATAAGGTTGCTATTTATTCATGTAAACTCCAATGGGTATAGGTGAAAATTTTCAATCTCCCATAAGAAAATGAGGGATTGGTTAGAAGGGAATTCTGTGAGGTCAGTAGTGTCCAGTTTTGTGGTCGTACAGTGGGATGAATGTGGAATGATAATTTGAATGCAGATAGGAACAGAACTTAGTAGGAACTGGAATAGGCTTTATGGCTCACAGGTCTGCTTTGCTTTTCAAGAAGCTCATTAATGATTTTCTGCATCAACCCCACTTCCCTGTTTCAACCCCATATTGCTGATTCCTTTGGTGGCCAAAAAACTCTCAACTTTCAATACACTCAATGACAATTATCCACAGATCTCGAGAGCAGAGAACGCCAAAGATTCACAACTTTCTGAATGAAGACATTTTTCATTATCTCAATCCTAAATGGCCAGCCCTTTATTCTGAGTCCAGGATTCCCTGGTTCTAGATGCTTCAACTAGGGGAAACATCTTTCCAGTATCTGTTCTGTCCATCCAATCTTTTACACATTCATGTGTCATGTTTCTAAACTTCAGAGAATGTAGCTCATTCTCGTCAGTGTTGTTTGAGTCACTTTGAGTGGGAAGAGCTGGAATTATGGTTGGCAAGGAATTGACTTGACATTGTATCAGTTTTTCTCACAATCATCACTCTCTATGAGCTTCACAATTTTGTGTGGCATAGTACCTACTGAAAGATTTGCAAAGCCCAATTGGTTGACAATCTAGACAAATACAAGTGGAGTAATTTTTAACTGGAAGTTTGCTGGTGAGGTGGACTGAGTCTAATGTCAATCGCTTTGAAGACTAAACCAGCTCAAGTTTTGAGCCTCTTTTGAATAAGACTGCAAAGTTCCAAGCACCAAATGATTCCTTTTTCAGTTCGCTGACTGTGTCAAGTTGCCAGTCTTTCAGACTTCTCTGAAATTTCAAGGAATTATTAAAGCCTTGGGAAAGTGCACTTCAGGCAAATATAAATTATATATTTCCCCCTTTACTTTTAAAGATTGCTGTTTATTAGTTACAAAAGTTTTGAAAGAATGTATTAAAAACATTATTCTTTGGAGACAAGAAATCAATTTTCAGTAAAATATATTTGACAAATCTTCCCAGAAGAACGCTAGAGGCATTTTTTTTTGGACTTGGAGAAGCTTTCTTGATCCTTCAATGGCTCCCAACATTAAATATGTCCTGTGATAACAAGGTGTAGAGCTGGATGAACACAGCAGGCCAAGCAGCATCAGAGGAGGAGGAAAGCTGACGTTTTGGGTCGAGACCCTTCTTCAGAAATGGGGGAGGGGAAGGGGATTCTGAAATAAATAAGGAGATAAGGGGGAGGCGGATAGAAGATGGATAAAGGAGAATATAGGTGGAGAGGAGACAGACAGGTCAAAGAGGCGGGGATGGAGCCAGTAAAGGTGAATGTAGGTGGGGAGTTAGGGAGGGAATAGGTCAGTCCAGGGAGGACAGAGAGGTCAAGGAGTTGGGATGAGGTTAGTGGGTAGGAGATGGGTGTGGGGCTTGAGGTGGGAGGAATGGTTAGGGAGGCGGGGAAGAGCTGGGCTGGTTTTGGGATACAGGCGGGGGAGGGGAGATTTTGAAGCTTGTGAAGTCCACATTGATACCCTTGGGCTTCAGGGTTCCCAAGCGAAATATGAGATGCTGTTCCTGCAGCTTTCGGGTGGCATCGTAGTGGCAATGCAGGAGGCCCAGGATGGACATGTCGTCCAAGGAGTGGGAGGGGGAGTTAAAATGGTTCGCGACTGGAAGGTGTAGTTGTTTGTTGCGAACCGAGTGTAGGTGTTCCGCAAAACGGTCCCCAAGCCTCCGCTTGGTTTCCCCGATGTAGAGGAGGCCACAACGGGAACAGCGGATACAGTATACCACATTAGCAGATGTGCAGGTGAACATTTGGTTGATGTGGAAGGTCTTCTTAGGGCCTGGGATGGGGG